ACACGCCTTTAATCCCAGCACTCAGGAGGCAGAGGCAGGTGGATCTCTGTGAGTTCGAGGCCAGCCTGGTCTACAGAGAGAGTTCCAGGACAGCCTCCAAAACAATACAGAGAAACACTGTCTCGAAAAACCAAAAAGAAAAAAGAAAACTTATAAATGCCATTCCTCAACATAATAGAAAGTATATTTGATAAGGTTGTAGACAGTATTCCACTGAATGATAAAAAACTAAAACATTTCTTCTAAAATAGATGTAAGACAGGATGTATACTCTCACTACCCTTGCTCAGTCCTTAAAATCTTGCCTTAGCAATAAGGTAAGAAAAAGAAAAGAGACATAAATGCAAAGTTAAAAAGTAAGATTATCCCCATTTGCAAATGTTGTATCCTATTCATGAAAGAATCCACCAGAAAATACTTAGATACAATAAATAGCTTTAGCATTTTAGCAGGATGGGAGACTATTTTCAATTTTAAATCATTGAAAATCAAGTCAGAAATCAACCCCATTCCCAATCACTTAATGAATACCTGGCATAAATTTAAAATTTAAGATGGCAATGAAAAGACAGAAAGGCCTCTCTCTCATGTTTGTGGATCAGAAGAATTAATGTAGTAAAGTAGGCATATTACAAAAAGTTATGTATAGATTTAATGTAATGCTTTTCAAAGTTCCAGTGACATTCTTTACAAAAATAGAAAACCTATCCAAAAACTCATATAGAAATACAAATATCCTAAATGCTCAAAATAATTGAGCAAAAAGAGCTATGCTAGAGATGTCACAATATTATCCAAACTATATTGGACATAGTAACAAGAATAATATGGTGATGACACAAAGACAAACATGTAGATCAAAAGAACATTGAAGATCCCACAATAAACCCAAAGAGCTACATACATCCAATAATCATTAAGCAGACTAAATGCACACACTGTAATAAAAGGCAATGTCTTTGACAGATGATCCTGGGAAAACTCACTATCAACATATAGATTGCTGGATCTGTATCTATTCCTTTTTCCATGTACAAAAATCAACTCAGAATGAACTAAATACTTTAAGACAGGGGAGACATATCAAAATATAACCATAAGCAAGAATGTTCTGAACAGAACTCCCAAGACTCAGGAAATAAGAACAAGTATTAACAAGTTGAATTTCATCATATTTTAAAGTTTCCACCAAAAAAATGAAGGCATAGAAAGATTTTAAGAGCCAGAAAATTAGGTATTTTGCTATGAGATTATGTCTCTTAGTAATGTCAGAAGCCATACCCAAGCAGCCTTTCCAACATGATAACAAGGACAACAATACAGAGGCCAAAGTGGATATGGGTATGTGATGCTGGAGACCATGAGGCCTCAACCTTACACAAAGAATGACCAGCAACTAAGGAATGCCGGGAGTAGGAGAAATAGTATATGGTCCAACTATACCATTTCTGTATATACATGCAAAAAATCCAAGGCAGCTTACCAAAAATATATTTGCATATAGATGTTTATCACTTACTGGTTTTAAGAATCAAGCTATGAAATCATTCTAGGTATTCAACAACAGGTGAATGTACAAAGAAAATGTGATAGGTGCACACATGATGGTGTTTTATTCATCCATAAGAAGAATTAAATTATCACCTACAGGAAAATAGATGGAATTGGAGTACATCACATTAAGGAAAAAATAATACATTTACAAAGAAAAATAGAAAAGTATTGTACATTTACTTATATTGTTTTAGGGTTTCTATTGCTGTGAAGAGACACCAAGACTCTTATAAAGGAAAACATTTAATTGGGGCTAGCTTTCAGTTTCAGAGTTTTAGTTCATTATTATCATGGTAAGAGACATGGCAGTGTTCAGGTAGACATGGTGCTGGAAAATGAATTAGGAGTTCTATACCTTAATCCACAGGTAGCAGAAAGAGTCTGTTCCACGGGGTGTGGCTTGAGCATATATTAAACCTCAAAGTCTGCCTCTATAGTGACACACTTCCTCTAACTAGGCCACACCTATTCCACCATGGACACACCTCCTAATAGTGCCACTCCCTAAGGGTCAAGCAATCAAATACAAGAGTCTATGGAGACCATTCCTATTCAGACCACCTTATGTAAAAGTTGGAGGGAAAAAGTCACGAAAGTGAAGGTACTAATGTAAAACAGGTGAAGGAAAGAAATGGTATAGGAGGAAGGGTTGGGGGCTAAATGTGATCAAAGTATCCTAAATGATGTATGAAAATATCATTATAAAATGCATTACTTTGTATAAATAACATATGCTTTTTAATCAAACAGGCAAGAAAAGGAAGGGAAAGGAAATATATCAGTTAAGAACACAAAGCTTCCTAAGTTGATAAAGAATTTCTACTCATAAAAATGTTATGCTTAATTATAAAGCATTAGAGGCATTCTCACTAATACCAGGAACAAGATTGCAACTATTCAAAATCATAAATAATAGATGAATGCAAGAAAAATAAAAGGCATAGATATTGAGAAGCAGAAAATGAAGCATCATTAGAAGAGAACTAATGTGAACTAACAATATGAGTGAGAGTTTGAAGAGGTCCAGATAAAAGACTAATGACTTTCCTATTTGCCAACAACAAAAAAAAAAGACTTAGAGGAAGTCTTAGTTCCAGCTCTGCCACTGACTCATAATTTCTATCCCCTTTTTGAGACTCAATTTCCTAACCTTTATGAATCTCTCAGACTCTGATACTGTCTCTTTTGTGTGCTGGCATTTTATTCATACCCAACCAGGTCCCTTTATGACTCAGTGTGTAAGAATGGAGGGCCAGAATCAGCTAAAGTGGGGGTGGTTTCTTTGCTCATAGTCACTAGGACGCAGGTTATATTTATAAAGGTTCTTGGAATCTCCCACATTTTTCTTAAGAGAAATGATCAGCGCCATTGTTAACAACAAGGCAAAACTATCAAAGGATTAGTATTATAGTGTGATGCTGAGGGTGTAAGAGAATGGGTCACTGCGGAGAATGAGAAGCCCTGGGGATGATTTAATAGGATTTTTACCTTCTTTGATGGTACACGTCTTCCTCTTTATGAGGAGGCTCTTCCTTTCCTTGGAACAGACACCAATCAATGACAGCTCTCACTCTTCATGTGGCAGAAGATCATAGAGGGACTAACACTGTCCTTTTCCAGCAGCAGAAACAGAAGGACCAAGTTCTCCAAAACCTCTCTTCTCAAAGGCAGTCTCATTTACTATATTAGAACCCTTTACCCCATTAAACAGTCACTTCACTCAAAGCCTTCCCTTTTCAATTGAGGATATAGCTTGCACACAACCCTGGTTTTAATCCCCAGCCCTATATACAAGAGTGGTATATGCCTGTAAATCTAGCACTCAGGAGTTGGAGGAAGGTGGACCATAACTTCAAGGTTACTTAGAGGGTTTGGGAACAGCTGAAATACATAAGACCCCATTTCAAAGAAAAATAAAGTCTTACCTCTTAATGCTATCACTTTGGGGACTCTAAAAATCTAAATTCCAATATAAGAATTTTGAAGGGACACATTTTCAAACAACATTTCTGCTGCTTTAGTTGGTCTCAAGGCCATCATTGACATTCCATCCCTCCTTTACTATTTTAGATTCCCTCCTCCACATCATCATATCTTGCTTGTTTTGACAGTTTCCTAGTGTACCATCCCTAATTGTCATCACTAAGGAGTCTGAACCTCTGGTTACTATGTCACTGTTCAGTCATCTTCATTGCAATTGCTTTTTAAAAGTTGATACTGTGCCGGGCGGTGGTGGCGCACGCCTTTAATCCCAGCACTCAGGAGGCAGAGGCAGGTGGATCACTGTGAGTTCGAGGCCGGGCTGGACCAATAGCCTCCAAAACAATACAGAGAAACCCTGTCTGGTAAAAACCAAAAAAAAAAAAAAAAAAAAAAAAGTTAATACTGAGTTGTGGAGTTCATGCAACAAATGCCCTATTGTGTATCTTGATTTCATTTCTCTTCTTCTTGTTTCTCTTACATGGCATCCATTTGACCCCTTTGTGGTTTCCAGGGTTAGTTATTCCACATTGTAAGTACTTTTGTTATACTGACAAGAGGAAAAATAAAATACCAGACAGTAGCTCTGGCCTTAGGTAGGACCCTGTCTGTTCTTCAAGTGGAAACAATGTTCCCAACTCAGGAGCTGCTAATTCTAAAGTGACTGGGACAAGAAACCCAAATTCTCCAAGCAAGTCACTAGATGTGATAATGAAAGGCCCCAGTCTCATCCTTGCCCCTCGCTCCAGAATCATATAATGGTGTGATTCAAGAACCACAAAGAAATAGACAGACAGACAGACAGATACCAATTTATCAAAAGATGCTATGGGAAAACAGGCTTATGGAGGTGGGACCAAGGGATCCTTGGATGACCACATACACTGCCTGACCCAGTCTTCACAACCCTTTTAAGAGATCATGTCCTCAGGCAAGAAGCCATGCCCTAAGGCCAGTACCCTAAAGCTATTGGAGGATGAATTCCCCCAACAATGGTGACATTCCTGGGTTAAAATGGTTGGGGAAAGTATCTAACTGTAACATACAATGCAAAGTCCAATAATTTGGCCTTGATCTTGAAGAGATCATGCATGTTCCAAATCACTGAATCTTAAAAATCACCAATACAGGCAGATCTCTGTGAGTTTGAGGCCAGCCTGGTTTACAGAGCGAGTTCCAGGACAGCCTCCAAAGCCACAGAGAAACCCTGTCTCAAAAAAAACAAAACAAAACAAAACAAATAAAAATCACCAATATAAGCCAGGTATTGGTGGCATACTCCTTTAATCCCAGCACTTGGGAGGCAGAGGCAGGTGGATCTCTGAGAGTTCGAGGCCATTCTGGTCTACAGAGCAAGTTCCAGAACAACCTCCAAAGCAATACAGAGAAGCTCTGTCTGGAAAAACAAAACAAAACAAAAATCACCAATACAGCAGACTCCTAAATGTTGGTTGGTAGAATTTTACCTTCCACTCTAGAATTTGCTTCCTGTTCATCAAGACCAAATAAATGATGTCATCAATGAGGAAACAAGTGTGGTGCTCTCCTGAATGCAGAGGATCCATGTAGCTCTTCACAAGATTGTAGCAGGAAGCAGACGAGGACCATATGAATGTTCACACAAATGGATAGAAACTTCATTGGGTGCTCTGTAATAAAAGAAAGAATGGATCTTTAAGATCAATAAATAGCGTTTAGTAAAATGTCAGAACTACATCTTTTACTATATACCTGTGTTCTTGATACAGTGTTTATCTTTGGTACATATCTTGAGAATACCTGGTACACATATTGTTGTGCCCAAATTCTGAACCCCAAAATCACCAAGAGGAACATTTTGATGCAAAAGCAAAGTCTTTTATTGTAGTTGTTTAACGAGCTAACCCCATTAGTTCTGGCCATTCACCCCTCCCTCCACCATGGCGAATGGCTGGAGAAAGACCCCGGCAACTTAGAGGCAGGGATCTTAAAGGACAGCATAAGGGGGGTGTCTAAGGGTACGAAACAGCCTCAGGATTGTTGCACTTCCAAGTTTGGACAACCTGCCCTGTGTTGATTGGTCAACTGGTTGTTATGGCCCATAGGCTCTCCCAGGGCTGTTGCTATGTTCTGCATGTCACTGTTGTGCACTTGTCAGTAAAGCACACCCAGAGCCATAAAGCACAGCCCTGCCAGCTAACTTCTGATTGGCTCCTTGCCACTAGGAGGGCATCTGACCTCCTAGTGACCAGGGGAAGGGCTTGAAAGGTCATGCAAGCACATGGTAGCCTGTCATGGCTGCTAAAATGGGGGGCTGCTCACTACATATTATCATACATAAGCAAAGAATTAATTTAAAAGGGAAATAAACATTGAAATAGTGTTGTTTATGTCTCAAAGGTGATCCTTTTCTTCTTTCCCTGTGTTGTGTTTTCTGTCACTTTTTCCCATTCCCTATTTGAATCTCTGCTTTGTTTTAATTTCCTAGAAAACACAGGTGGTTATAGTTGATTTTTTTTGTTCCCTAGAGTAAATATTGCAAAATGCTTTTTTCATCCGTCTTTGGTATTACGTGTCCCTTAATCCTTTCTACTATGAAATTTATGAACTAGTATTAATTCAAATGATCATGTTTATATGATTTTCATCCTGAAAATTTTCCTGCATGCTTATCTTAGTGTAACTGCAATATCTGTCCCAGATTATAATAGGACTCTGAATCTCCTTAATCCACTTCCTATTTACTCAAGCATTATTTATATGCTGCCCAGAATTACTGTTCAAAGGGTAGGTTTTACAATAGATACTATCTCTTCCATGTGCTGCTCCATTTTGTGGGTTGGTGTGCATGGAGCTACATCTATATATACCTACCATCTAGGAAATTCAACTTAGGAGCTTTTTCATAAATGTATTAAAAATCTTTCATTGTAATCTACATTTTGTTATCCCCTACACTATGGAAGTATCTCTTAAACTCAGGGGATTTTATAAGATATAAAATCTACTTTAAGTATTGACATTTTTCTTTAGATGCTTAGTACAGAATCATGTGAGTATATATATATATATATATATATATATATATATATATATGTTGCTCTTTCTGGTTCACAGCTATGATAAAGATTCTCATAGATCCTAATGCATAGGAAGTCAGGTCAGACAAACATTAACAACATATTTGGTCACAAAGTTTACACTCTGTGCACTGCATCACCAGGGCAGGTGCTTGGATCTTCTCAGGTTTCCTTCACTGTTACTCTGTTTCAGAAGCTCCACTGGACTCTGCAGCATCAGCTCCACCAACTCCGCATGCCCCACCCACTGTGCTCATGAGCAGGAGGGCTGGTGACTGCCTGCAGCTGGCACCCTTTCTTCAGAGCTTGCATTATGGAGATAAAGCCTTTAGCATTAATGAAGTTTCCTTTTCCTGGTTTATCCTTTTGCTGCAGTAGATTGTTGGGCAGAGACAAATGTGCACTTCAGCGCGCTTCCCATGATCAATTACTTTCATCATTTGAAACAAACAAAAAGCCTTTCATTTTTAAAAATAAAATCCATTTTGAAAGATATGTGATAGTAATTCCAATACCAGGAAATGGCTTTTTCTACTGGACAATCTAATTTTTTTAAATATAAAGTCAGTGGGTTTACTACCATCTTCATTCCCTCTCGATACAGTGAGGTTCTTAAACTCTGTCATTCCTTAGTACTGTATTTTTTTTAATTTAGGTTAAAATAAAAGTCGTGGGCATTTTCACACACATCTGTCATTTTTCTCTCTTCTCAATCAGTCCTCTTCCCCTGTCTTCCCCTGTGTGACCTGAATCCCTGAGTGGCTCTTCCTCCTCCCAGTGAATTCCTCTTTCCACCTTCTTATAACAGTTGCACATTACTATCCTTTCCTCTCCCCTTGAGAACTACCAGCACTCAGAAGGCAGAAGCAGGTGGATCTCTGTGAGTCCGAGGACAGCCTGGTCTACAAAGTGAGTTCCAGGACAGCCTCTAAACAAAACAAAAACAAAAAAGAACTCATCTTCTCCTCATAGTTCCATTTTTAGTTTCTTGGCCTACACACACAAATATAAATATCTCACATCTGCACAAACACATACACCCCACACACACTTTTACATCTGGGTTCTGCATCTAAGAGAAAACATGCTGTACTTAAATCCCAGCTCTCAGAAGGCAGAGGCAGGCAGATCTGTGTGAGTTCTAGGCCAGCCTGGTCTACAGAGTGAGCTCCAGGACAGGCTTTTCCAAAGTTACACAGAGAAATCCTGTGTGCCACTTACTGGTTTTAATAACTCCTCTAAGATACTCTGTGACTAACAGGTCTCTATGGTTTTGCCGTCACACTTTCTTCACTATATAAAGGAAGGAACAAAGAACAGAACCAGGTAGTGTCTTTCTTCACCTCTGGTATTATGTATTCTGGGAGTCCGGTATTTCCTGAGATCATTAACAACCATAGAATTCTGATGACAAGCTAAGGAGAGTTTCAGATCTTCCCATTTGTGTGATGTTCTTGTAGCGCTACCATGGAAACAGCTATCTCACTGCTCTTTTTAACAAACTGCTTCATTTGAACTGCCATAAAAGTGTGTGTGTGTGTGTGTGTGTGTGTGTGTGTGTGTGTGTGTGTGTGTGTAGAAGACACTGTGGTTGTCAATCAAATTTAAACTTTATTAACAATTATGGGTTAGTATAAAATTTATCTTTTTAGTTAACCTGTGTCACATGGATTTTTAGTTATCCTGTGTCCTATGGATTTCATAATAATACTTTTGTATAGTCACATTTTTTATACCAACTTTGGATATAAAAATCCCAGACTGCCATTCTGCCTCCAAATAAGTAAGAGATCACAGGCTTCCCACATGGAATTCTGATTGACACACTGTAAATGGTAGAATTCAGGTAAAGCATGTTGTGAAGGCTTCCACATACCTCTGCAGACTATGCAGCTGTGCATGGGAGCTGGTGGGCCATCCATAGGCATGGAATAAATGAATACATGACAATATTACTGTGTTAGTATAAAATGATTACTGCGGAGACATCATGGTGCATGCCTACAGCCTGAACTCCTTAGGGGACTGAAGAGGAGTTTCAAGACCAATGTAGGCAACAAATTGAGAGCCAGTTCAAAGCAAAACAAACAATGATGAAACAAGTACACATAGACTCCTGCAGTCTCTGAAATAATCCTAATGAGAACTTGTATCTGTAATTCCCAAAGTAGAAAGCATGATGGTAAGTTTTATCCTCATTTCCATAGAATCTCAAATCTGGAATTTGTCTCTTTATGTCTAAATAATACCCTTGTTCAGACTTAGGCATTATGAAATGTTTTAAATAATACAGGAATTTCCATAATTCCTTTCCTTGGGGCCCATGAAGAATTTTCTGAATAGGCTGAAAGGTTGTGTCAAGTGATAGTTAATTCAATGAAATGAGGCAACATTTCCCACAAGTACAGAGACAGTATTCCCCTCACAGCTAATTCACAAGTTCTAGAGCAGTGCTTTGCACATGGTGGGTACTCAAACTGTAAGATAAATGATAGTTGACTCCAAAATATGTCAAGAATGAATCAGCAGTCTACCAGCTGTTATTACATACAGGAAGTTAGGTACTGAAAGTATGTTGAGCATTACGGAAGTATTGAGGGCTTTTGAAGCAGGATAAAACAAGTTCTGAGAGGTTCATTCAGGCTTCCATTGTCCCAACAGATTTTTCTCTCTATTAAATTTTTAGTTCCTTCAACTTCTTTTTATAATGTACTGAATCTCTTCACCATCCGATTTGACATTCAGAATCATCGTGATGAGTGCTAGTTTGAATGAGAAATATTCCCTATTGACTGTGTTTAAACACTTGGTCCCCAGTTGGTAGGGCTGTTGGGGAGGTTGTGGAAGCTTTGGGAGATGGAGCCTTGCTGGGGAAGTATGTCTCTCACAGGGGTGGGCTTTGGCCCACCCCTCCTGGTTGTTCAGTGCTTTGTGTTTGTGTTTGGAGACGTCAGCTCTCTGCTTCCTGCTGCCATGCTTGCCACTTGATGTCATGGCTCTCTGCTGTAATGGACACTTACCCTTCTAGAACCATAAGTCACATAATTGCTTCCTTGTCTCAGTTGTTTTCGGTCATTGTATTTGATCACAGCAGCAGAAGACAACTAACATATGACACAAATATTTAGAATAAAATTCAAATCTTGTCCCAAATATTTATGGCAATATAAAATAAGGTTGCTTTAGTTTCTTTAACAAAAAATGTTTGGCCTCAACTTTGATTGCAAATAATAGAAAACCAAACAAATGAGTGTAAACAAAAACAGAAATTCATTGAAAAGGTTAAGGTATTTTGAAGGGTAAATGAAAGGATTTTGAGAAAATTTGTACACAGAATAATTACAAGGATTTAGAATCTGACTTGGGGATGGTACTGTAGATCAGTGATAGAACTCATGGCCAGCATGCACAATGCCTTGGGTTCAACACCAAGCACCACACACACACACACACACACACACACACACACACACACACACACACAAATTGTATTTATTTAACCACAGAAGACAAAATGAAATGACTAGAGGGATAATTTTTAAAAAAGGCTTAACTCTTCCCAGCCTGTTATTTTGCCAAACATAGAGGCTACTAGGAGCCATATCTCATATGCAACTATCTTCGCTTATGTTTGAGTGACAGAATGGGGGAAAACTTTGTTGAGCCAACTTTTATCAGGGAAACTGGTGAGCTGGCTATGTATAACTTAGTTAACACATGAGTAACAGTCTATCTAACCATTCTTATTGCCATAGGTCTCAGAAGGAAGAATACATGGTCAGCTGGCTGCGTCAGTGGGCACTTGCTGGCCTATCACATGGCCAGTGTATTTAAGAATGACGAGTAAATAAAACCACTAGGTATTTTTCACAAATGCATCAACAGCCAAGTTCCTACATGTCTTTTTGTACAAATCTCTCTGAACCAAAGCTTAAGGTGTTTCCTTTGTCTTACGATTATTAGAGGCTACTCATCTATCAGTCCTCTATTCATATTCACTTTCCAAAATATACTGGGGCAGTGGGTAAAGGTACCTGCTGCCAAAGCCGACAACCTGAGTTTGGTCCCTGGGATACACACAATGGAAAGAGAAAGCTAACAAGCTGTCCTTGAACAATGTGGCACATACTCACCCACCCCCACCACACACACAGACCAACATGCATACATAAAATAAATAACAGCATTTAAAATTTAAAGGAAACATGTTACATTAAAACAAAAAAGGAAGTGCTAAGCTAACGAGCAGAGGAAGGCATTTCATAAAAGATTCTGATGTAAACTAAGTAATGGACATGGTTTGATATTGTTGGGGATATTTTATAGGCTGTGTTTTTATGTTGAAAATAGAATTAACTGACTCAATAGAGGTAATTTAAATCGAGAGGTGAACAAAAGTGTACCTTACCAACAAAACACTTGGTAGTAAAATCATAAAGGGAAGAAAAAGAACTGTGAGATAAATTTTGAAAGAAGCGCACGAGAGAAGAGTGACTGGGATTCTTAAAGGAATGATTTTGAACAACAGATGAAAGGAGACCTGGACTGACTGATGCAGAGACTTGGGCTTGGATCCTACCACATCTCATCTGCTGGATAATCATGGTCGGTGTGAATTAGCCACATAAGAATGAGTCCTTGTTGGTTTTCTTGTCTGCACACAGGTTTGGTCCAGGAAAAGTAACAGATTATACATAATAAAACACCACTGCTTTAGTGAACAACTTAGATTTCCAGAAATAGCGAATTTTGGAGCCCATAGTAATTCTAATCCTTGCTATTACTGAGGAAGCTGGAAGCCATGGAGAAATGGAAGAAGACACAAAGGTAAAAACACACACAATACTTTAAGTCTAGGCATGTAGCAAGTGTTCAGTCTTCTTTAGGCGTTATATTAGTCACTTTTCTTATTGCTACGGCAAGACACCTATACAAAAGCAACATAAAGAAGAAACGATTTTGGCCCACAGTTCTGGAGCATAGTCCATCTGGCAGAGAGAGTCATGGCAACAGGAGCCTGAGGCAGCTGGTCACATTGTGTCCACAGTCAGGGAACAAAGGGAGATGAACATTCATGCTCAATGTGTTTCTTCTTTTTATGGATCCAAGCCCAGGGAATAGTGCCTCTCCCTTTTAGGATGGATCCTCTCACCTTAACCCAGTCAAAATATTCTGTCATGCTTGAAGGCTAAGCTAAATTATCCCTCAATTACCCCTGGAAGCTTGTCTCCAAGGCAATTCTAGAGCCTGTCAGTTAACAATACCTACATCACAGGTAGACTAACATGATTTTCTATTAATAAAATAATATGAAAATAAAATTATATGTCTTTTTATGCTGGAAGAAAATGATATTTAGTATAATATGTCTCCTTATTTAAACTGTTTAACTGTGGGTTTGTTTGTTTTTTTAACTGATGACTTTTTAAGAAGTAGCTTAAGAAATGAAAATGACAGAGTTTTACTGCTCTATATTGATGTAACAAGATGCCTGAGACTGGGAACTTTATAAACAAAGAGTCTGTTTGTCTCATGGTATAGAAGGCTCAAAGTTCTAGATGGGGTTATCTCCAGAGAATGGGTCTCTGGAGAGGATCCTAGGTTAGATGTCAACACAAAATGAAATACTGACAATACAAGGATGGCAGACACCAGGGAGGCTTTATCTTGCTGATTTAATAACAACTTCTTGTGGTATCCAATTCACTCTGGGAAACCAACATTATCTCTTCCAAGAAGTAGAATGTTTCATTGTATTTAATACACAGGAAATGAAAATTAAATGCCCACAGTAGTTCTTGTTAAGCACATCAAGCAGGTTGACCACGGCAAGAAGGGTATTTTTCTCTCCATGTCCACTAGAGGGCACACCTACTTCAGCAGAAGAGCGCGAAAGGCAGCTCCCTATGGGAAAGAGAGCGGCCTGGCCAGCACTTACTGGCTAAAGCTGTCTTGATCTCCACTCCAGGAAGTCACCCATCTGGACTACCCCTTCACTTCTGCCTCTCTACAGCCTCAAGGCAATATATGAACTAAGAGCAAATGCATTTGGCATGATGTCACCAAAGACAAGAATTGATCCGCACCAGAAGAAACGAAGTCCGTAAGCCCAATGAATACTATCGAGAACATGCTTTCAAAGTGAAGGAAAAAAAATCTGCAGAAATAGGCTTGCTTTCCGACAAAAAAAATTAATATCAAATTCTTGTTTAAGTTTTTTGATTTTTAATATACTCCTTCCAAGAAGATTTAGACTTACAAGTCCTCAAGCTTACTTAACTACAGGAACTGACTATGAAGTGCTACTAATTAATAACCACCTGGCCCTGTGTTTCCCTTTGTGAAAAGGACAGCTTTTCAGGACACACTCAGTTTATCGGCACCCTTCACGCATGCTCTCCAAGCACCATCATTTGCCCACGCTCTCACTGCTGTATGCGTC